AGGTTAAGTATTATTATTTCATTTTCTTGTCATGGCAGCTAATTCTTTGTATTTGGATATGATTTCATGAATAGTGTGTTAGGTTAGTTTAATTATTTGTAAACTGTTCCCCGAGCATATGTTGAAGAGAATGGTCTGTAAAAACCTCTAACAAACAAACAAACCAAAGTCTAGTATGCGAAGATGCTGGGCCTCTGAACCGTAAGACATGACACCATTTTATTGCTTAACAATGGATATTCTAGTGGTAAGTAGATTTCTTCTATAAATCTTGTAAATGATGGTCTCTACACAACTCTTACTTCTGTTACTCCAATAAGTAACTACAAGGTATTTATAATATATGCTTTTCACTTTGAACCTGTTTAAAAAGATATTTTTGGTTATAGTTATGTAAATGATTCATCGAATTTGGACCAGCTAATTAATATGAAATAAGCTTGAAACAAATGTGCTTAAAATAGTCCACCATTCCAAAATCATGTTTTGGTCATAACTGCAATAGCTGAAGCCTCAAAGCACTTCATTCAGTAAAAACAAAACTCTATTACTATTATACTTTTGACAGTCAGGGTGGCCTTCATTTTGGTGCACAGTATGTCTGGATTGGCTCATTACTTTCTGAGTTATAACAGTTTTCCCCAGAATAACCTAAATGGTATTATGCAGAGGTCTGTGATCTTGAAATGATCATTGACACCATTTTAAAGGTGGCATTTACCTCACCTAACATTATCGGTATTATGCAGAACTGATCTGGCATCAATGCCTGTTTTTCTCATAACTATAACACGTTTTCTAAAGGCCTTTGTGGATATTGCCTGGTCCACCTCAGACAACCACTAAAGAAAGCTGCCAGTTCAACAAACCTACATCACAGGTCTTTATCATGAAACTTTCTGGCTCTGGCAAAAAGAACATAAGAGCTGGGCTGAATCAGAGCAAGAGCCCATCTAATCCATCATTCAGTGGACAACCAGCTGCCCATGGAAAACCCAAAAGCAGGACAGAGTGCAGCAGTACCCATTACCCAAAGGGGGCACATGGGCATACTGCCCCTGATACTGGCGGAAAGCATACAGCTATCTGGACTAGTGGCCCCAGAAAAGCTTATTCTCCATGAATTTGTCCAATCTCCATTTTAAAGTAATCCAACCCACAGAAATTAATTACATAGCTTAGCTATGCACTTTGTGAAGAAGTGCTTTCATTTCTCTGTCCTAAATCTCCCAGGAATCAATTTCATTTGATGATCTTAGGTTGCAGTATTATAGGTATGGGAGAAAAATGTCTCCCTATACATTTTCTCCACATTATGAAGAACTTGGCATACCTTTTTCATGTTTCTAAGCCTGCACTGAGCTCAAGCTGAAGTTAACATTTTCATTTATAAGTAGTCTTTTCTACTAACTAGGACTGTACAGTGGCCCTTGTCAATATAGAGCTATGCATTACTCTATCAATACTTTTGTGAATAACTGGTTGTCATCTAAAGTCAGCTAAAATAGGATGAAGTCAGGAAAATGTTATGTGCCAGCTACATTGTGTGTGGGACTGGAAAGAGACCTGCAAACCTTTCAATGTTGCAGTGGCATACTTACAAGAAAATATGGCTAAACAACATCCTGTTGGACTTTTGCTGTACAGTGGTTTTCCATTTCTGCTTAAGCAGCGAAGCCAAGTTTACTGAGGAAGGTTAACTAAATTCCACAGTCGGGGAACTGTGAAAATGGGAAACCTCAGGGAATTTAGGCTGCCAATGCTTGACTTTGGAGATAGGGAGTTGCAGACTACTACTGCACAAGCTTTCAGTGCTACTGAGAAGTTGCTGATTTCCTCAAAACTTAATCACAGGAATGGGTTCTCAAGCACAGCACAATTAAAAAAAAAAAAAATCAGTATTCAGCTTATGACCACAGTCTATCAGAGGTATTTAGTGTAATGATTAATCACAGATGAATTGGCTTTTTCTTTTCTGACATTTTTGAATCCTTTCTACTGTTTTCTCCATCTGATATCAAGCTATGCCATGAGAATGAAATGGTCTGACCAATTCAAATAATTACATTTCCTGTGGACTTTATGCAAATCTGGATGAAGTTTCCATTAAAACACCTTGTTCTTCTTTTAGAGAACAATCTCTAAAACATAGTGAGACGTAACATTTTCAGAAACTATTAGTTCTCCTACATACTTCAAAGCAGACCATTCTTAAAATTTGCAAACTCAATGGAAAAGTTTTTGAGAAGTCAGGCAGCTGGCCAAAGTAAAGCAACATTGTGGGCTTAAATTGAAACTAATTTGCATGAAAATGTACATGCCAAGAGAGCCTGGGAAATGCTACAGGGAAAGGAAGCTTAGCCCAAAATGAGTATTTTTTAACATCTTAAATAAAGTTAAGGTTAATGAAGGACAAAAGCAAAAGGTGGCAAAAATATAGTTTCAACCAAAAGAATAAAAAGTAGATATTCTCTGAAGGTACCTCTTAGAGTTAAAGTACAGAACAATTTCAGGCAAAAGGCATGAGAACAAAGTTTGCACTGTAGTTAATTGTACAGTTGTGGGGGAGGGGTTTGACTGAATAATAGAAACTCACCCAAATCACAGCAAAAATGATGAAACAGCCAACTGTCCAGGTACCAGCATGTGAAGACCCCTAGACACATTCCGTGCTATGATCCAAAGTTCTACATGTTCTGATCCCACATGGCTGGAATGTGCATTTTAACCTGAAATTACACAGGTGGGGTCTTATCCCTCTCCCCGATTGTCCCCACATTAGGAGAGCTCAAGTTACAATGAATATAAATGGTAGATTAAACTTTCTTGGCAACGACAAGTATCTTTACGTTGATCAAACTGAAACCTTTCAGACTATGAAAATTACAGTTTATTGATAGCAAAAATGTTGAGTGGATGGCGGCAGTGGCACAGCCAGGCGGCAAGCAGCATGAGAAGCCAGGGAGGGCGCATACAAGCAGCAAGGGAACTGGGAAGCAAGTAAAGGCTGGGCTGCAAGTCGGGAGGGAGACTCCCACTAATGAAGAGTTGTATTATTTCATTAAACATTACAATGTAATACTGAAAGAAATAAAGTACACAATAAATGTAATGTGCTTGAATCATCCTGAAACCATCCCCACTCCTGGTCCATGGAAAAACTGTCTTCCAAGAAACTGGTCCCTGGTGCCAAAAAGTTTGGGGACTGCTGAAATAGAGTATTATTTACACTGTTTCATACTTACAAGCAGAATTCACCTCATTATATTTTGTATATATTCCTACAGAGGGAAAATCTTTAAAATATTCTCTTACAGGGACTTCTTGGGGCCAGTGTTCATAACAGTTTGGCTTTGCAGTGCAAACAACTTCCAGAAGTCAGGTGAATTCAGTGGAGCTTACTGTCAGAGAAGCAGTTGTATTATTGCAGCCTATTGTAATTGCAAGAAGACACCCACTGGACAATCTTGTCTTCTCTTCTCCACCCCACTGTTACTTCTGCTTCACTCTGTCTTGTCCATCCTAACCCTCACAAAAACAAAGTACTAAAAGACATGAAATTCCCATCTCTGTCAGATAGCTCCTGATTAGTCAAAGAAGACTGTATTGGGCAAATACTTTGACTTTCTATAAGCCACCTTCCTGCACAAAAAGCATATGCCAACTTCCATTTGCAGGGTTTTAGTCTTCCCTGGCCATTATGCCTGATGGTGGGAGCTGTGAAATGGTTGCCAGAAAGGGTTTCAAGGCCTGGACAGTAAACTGGGAAAGAGACTGGAAAGTATTTCAGGCCTGGGCAGTAAGTTGGGAAGAAACTTAACTCTATGCTAAACAACTATTAGTTTGCAAGGTCACCACCTTTTGATATACACCACAATAACCCAGTTTGCACATAACAACCAATCCTGGATTAAGTTAACTCTTGGTACGTCTGGGCCACAGAGATTTGGTGAGCACGCTATCTCTTGCCTGCTTGTTATTTCTGATCTGCATATGGTTTAAAACAACAGCAAGCTGTTCAGTGTGGACATGCAAATCAAAAAGCTCCTGGATACTGAGGGAGAAACAACACTGAATTGTAAGTGAACACACATCCTCATGGCCCCAGCCATGTTACGTTCAATTATACAATACATCAGTTCATATCCAAACTTCCATCTATAAAATATAGGAATGCCTGCAGGTAATATAAATGTTTAGGCTGCCGTCCTAATCACAGTGAACACAGTAAGACTTGTGAACAAATATGCACAGGAATGCAATGCCGGAGTATTAAATGGACTACTTACAGATGCAACTCATTCTCAATAAGACATCTGCAGATAATGTCTTCCTTTACATGGTAAGCATACCCATGGTGAGTCAAATGCTCACTAAGTATCTGGAGTCACCTCTGAAAATATTTTTCTAATCCTCTGAGCTAACTATCCAATGAAAACCAGTATAATCAGAAACTACAGGGATAAGGAATACTACACACCTAAAGACATTTGCTTTTAGAAGTTGCACAATTCAGTGATTTAAAATACGTCAAATAAATTATGTTTTACTAACCAGGATCCCCTCTCAGTGAAATTAATCTTTTTTGACCAACACAGCTTTATCCAATATTGCATGCTATTTTAAGTCTCCTCCATTTCAAATATGGTTTTCTATGTAGCACAAAGGCAGCTACGTCAGAAATTGAAGCCCATAATATCCATGGGTATACAGAACTAGTATATTAGATTAGATTAGATTATTTACCTTTCTATATTGTCCATTAGTCAAAGTTTGTTCAATTCTTTGGATTGTATCTCCACCAAAAGAATTATATGCATACAGAACTGTAAAATAGTCTGAGCACTTGAACCAAACTGAACTTAAGCCAACCCCCTTATGGCCATGCAAAAGCAGAGAGGAAGTCAGTGGAAGTACACAAATCTGTCATAACCACATAAAACACTTGAATCAAACTTAAGATTGCATTCAGACTTGTTAACAAAGAACTTCAGTCTTACCTTGTATCTCATTTTAGGGCACGAATGAATATAAAATCCCATGTAGTAATAGCTTAGGTCAGGGGCCTTTTCATGAAGTTGTCGAGTAAAAGCAATTTCCCTGTAAAAGAAGCATTCATTCTGAATGGATAAAAAGATAATACTAGATAGAGGTAGTCGCAGATGTAAGCAGCAATCATAATAAAGGGGAAAAAAACTCACAAATTTGAATGGCCTAAATTTTGGCCTGTGTTAAAGGAATGATTACATTTAATCAACGAATGAGAATAATAAGTATAGAGAAAGCTCAATATAAAAACCCACCAACTCCTTTACTTAACCAAGCCAGTTTTGCATTTTGTCCTGCCAAGAAGCTAATCTGAAATTCAAATGACAAGTGATTAAAGGCACTCTTTTAACAGGTTTCTTGTTAATATTCATGCACTGATGCGCTACAGACGCCTGTCCCAGTCATTGTATTCAGCCGGACTAAAACAGTGCATACACACAACAGAGAATTTTTAAATCAATGAGTTTCAAAGAAATCCTTCCAATGAACTCTAGCAACTTACATACAAATACCTATTTGCATGCAATAAACCAATTTTCTGATTATAGGAAAAGCTTGTTCTGTACGCATCCAATTTATATTTTTGGAAGAAAAATGGCAAGATTTTCTTTGTCTTATTCAGTTCTGAGACAGAAATTGATGTCGGTGTATAGCTTTCTCCATTACTTCGGTTATTTGGAAGGAACTGCTTTCATTTCACTTGGCGCAATGTTATCAGAGATGTGAGAAACACTGAAGGATGCACGACTGCCAATGTCACCTAAATTTAATAGTATTCCAGTGTAATCAACCAGTCCTATCCTTTATTGTTTAAGTATAAGTAGCTGCTGAAGGAATCTATATTTATCAAGCAAACATTTTAGTCACCTTTTTTCCTAAATTAAATGACCCCCCATATGTAGTCTTTCCTCATAGGTAATGTGCCCTTTTCTGTGCCTTTTGAAGAACGAGAATAAACAGTATTCCATGTGTGGCTGGACTATGGCTTGTATACAATAGAAAGACAGAACCATCTTCCCTGTGTGCAAGTCAGTGTGATGACAAGTTTCCAATAACCCTATTCAAATAAGACACCCACCAAAAACCTGCTTCTAAAGGATAGTAAAGCCCCTGGAACAGAATGGGATTAGGCACAGGGAGTATAATAAGCAGAAAGATTTGCAAAAGTTGGGTATCCCAACAGAAACAACCAGAACTGTTTTCCTCTTCTGGCAGCCATTCTCTCCAGATACTTTACCTTCAATTCACATCATGCCTCTTTATTGGCTATGGTGCCTAGGATAAGGAAGTGCTATCACTGGATATCTACGTACTTACTTCTGGAAATTATCCTTTTTGTTTGTTTGTTTGTTTGTTTCTGCTTCTTTTAATCAGTTACTGATTTGTAAAAGAACCAGTAATTTCACATTTTAGTTCTTTCAGAATTAACTCTCAGGTGAAGATAAGGCATTACCACTCATTTCTCCCTAAAAAGTCAGCTCAGATATTGGTATCTGTCCTACATCTTCTATAACGAAGCCAGATTAATTCATTTAGTATCTTAGCAGCTCTCATAAGAATAGCCTGTCCAGTCTCCTAACCTAAGCAAACCCCCCCTCCCTCCCTCCCTCCCTCCCTCACAGAGAGAGAGAGAGAGAGAGAGAGAGAGAGACCAACCAAGAATGCAGTTGTCCGCTGCATGGTTAAATTATTCAAGCATATATTTCAAAATTCCAAACCACACAATGTAGGCAAAGAAAAGAGAAAAAAAGGATAGGAAGAAATCCTATAGTCACAAGCCAATATTATCCCAATCTTACGGGAATGATGTTAAGTCCATCAGCTATTCTCTCTTAAAGAAAAGGTTACTGTACGTGCTACATAGTTCCTTGAAAATTTTCTGTCACAAAAAAAGCAGACAAAGCTGTTTTTAGATGGGTATTAGATGGTAAAAAGAAGATCAGAGTGAAATCACTCAGGTCATTGTTCTTCTGTCTCCAGTAGAGACTACTGGCAGCTTAGAACTTTAAGGGAAAACTCCTGCAACTCATTAAGTAAAACCTAACATATTATTTCAGAATCAATTTCACAGTGACCAGAATTTTGGTTTCATGACTCTAAGGTAGTATTTTGTATGCTAACATATCCATGAGTTTTTGTCTTGAGAGAAAAGGCAATCAAGTAGATTCCTTTGCAAGGAATTTAGTCATTTTCCCTTTGGTTACAGTTCCATATCATGACATTATAACACACTGCATTATCCTGGGTCAAATTCCCAGAATTCTTAGATTATGAGCCACTTTTTGAAGGGATGTACACATTTTTAAAATGTTTAAGTGCTATTTTTAAAATAGGCACTCAGCTATGGAGCTATCTAGGTAACTTTGGGCCAGTCATAGACTCTCAGCCCAACTCACCTCACAAGGTTGTTGCTGTGAAAGTAAGACTGAGAGCAGAAAGAGAAGAATGAAGTAAACCACTGAGTTTACCGTAAGAAAATGTGGGATATAAAATCTAATCAATCAATCAAATGTAAGCAAGAGGTTTTCAGTCCCATAAGAATGCAATGGCAACAACTTATATGTAGCAAGGAGCTAAGAAATAATATGATCAACCTCACACCGGCCAGTTCCAATTTTTAAAACCCCTAGCCATGCTGGACCTGACAGTGAAAATCAAGTAACAGGAACATGGAGAAAATGTAAATCTGGACACAGGCTCAACTCCTTCAGTGAGGGCAGTAAAATTAATTAGGCAGTGTTCACCAAAATGAATTGGAATACTTAACTAGCTGTCCCTTGTATAGAAATAGCTAGTCAGAAGCATTGTGCAAGGAAATGTGAATTTTTAAAAAACTGGGAGAAATTGAAAAAGGAACAGAACAGCCTCTCTCAGGAAAAAAATTACTTTGGAGACAGAAATTGTAACCTTGTGAAAAATCTTGGGCTTGTTCCCTTTCTCATTATCCTCACTGCAAGGAAATCCCTGATGTGCAGCAACAATCCATTGACAGCCTGTCATGAGAAACTGCAAAAACCTACCTTTTTAATCAATTACTGTTTCCCCATCTTTTACCTTTTTTCATTACCTGGTTTTTCAGTTTTTCAACTATCTTTTACCTACCCTCTTTGGTTCCCCTTGGCAGCTTGCAGAAGGAGAGCTACCAAGAGAAACCAAAGATGCAATGGAACTTTTGCTGAAAAGGAGGTGTTTTAGGGATCTATACCTCTTTGCAGAAAGATCCTAATTTTCTTTGTTCCCCCTTTAATTCCCATCAGGTGCACATTTTGCGCTTAAGTGCTTGGAAAAGTGCACATGTCTAGTTCTCCTCCTATTGCAAAGGAAACTAATTTTGACAGCTAGTTCTCAGAAATCTGGGTCTCTTTAGTAAGGGGGGGAGGTTGAATGAGAATTGGGTGGTTTTTGGATTGGAACATATGCCTTTTTATGTGAAAAATTCTCCCCAAAACTCCTCTTCAGAAAAAGACTTCTCACCCCTTTTGTGGCAAGAACTTCCAATTTCTTTGGTGGCTGGGAAAGTGGAAAAGTGTAAGCTCAGTGTTCCTTTTAAAATAAGATTTCTGAAAAGGCTAATCAGGGCTTTATGACAGGGCTTTATACGTTGAGATGAGAGACAGGTAAATGTTCTTGTCAAAAGCTAGCTAGCAAACAAACGAATCAGATTAGCTTTGTCAAAATTGCCAATTTAAAAGGAAGCATGAATTTTTACAACTACCATAAATTGGGTGACTCACATTTTTCCACCTTCCCAACCCAGGCACTCTGACACATAGAAACAAAGAAACAGAATGAGTCAGAAGGGGCCTCCCAGGATATCTATTCTGACCCTCAGCTCCAACTGGCACCACTCATGACATGTCCACCTAGAATCTTGGGAAATGGTGGACAAGATACAGGACACTGAGAACAGTCAGGTACAAACAAAAAACCTAGATGGTTTGCCATGAAGGCAGTGATCTAACTCACCACCCCACTTTGTAACAATGTTCCTCACATCATTGCATCACCTTGCAACAACTGTCAAAAGATGCAACATAACAAAAACGTATTTATAGTTGCTCTGGTCAATGTCCATGGTTGGTGTTTGTTGTGCGTTAACAAGACACACCTTCCAGGACAAAATCCATGCAAATCCACTTAAAAAGGGTGGTGGGGGGGCTATAGCAAACCAATAACAGCCTCTCCAACATGCAGTTTGGGCATTTTGATGGAGCAATCAGTGGCTATCACCTTAGAAATCACAAAACTTTTTTTTAAATAAAAAGAGGAAGAGGAGAAGAGGGGGAAAACCATAGTGTGTGAAAAACTGATCACAGTCACAGCTGGGAGTGATGGCAGCTGACATCCGACTGTGAGCCTGTGTGCTACAACATAGGTCACTCGCTGAACCCACTGTTGGGTATTTGCAGGGTGGCTTACTCTCCTTTTCTGTACCCTGATGCCATTACTAAAATCTCCCATTCTTTCTGTAGATGGGGTAGGGGTTGAGGTAGATACTACAGTCACACAAATAAAGTATGGCTCATATCATGTCTTCCATCTTCCCCACTTTGGGCAGAAACAGGGCACACACATGCACAAACACGTATGTATGTATGTATGTATGTATGTATCAACAACAGTAGCTGAGTTAGAATTCGTCCTTGTTCAGCCATCTCTGGATGTTTAGTATGAAAGCTGGATCTCATGATTGATTGCATTTTTTTCTGGACTGGGTGTCCTGTCAATTTTTAAAAATAAAAACAAAAGCGAAACACTCCATGCATCTAACAGAAGCTATGTTGAGAGGAAAGGTTCTAGTTGCATTTGTGTTGCATTTGTTAGTATGGCAGAACATTTCAGCACGTGACTTCTTCAACTGGAGTTTCAAACTGACTAGTTCAACAAGCTGTGCTACGTGGCTGTTCTGATGATGTTTCACTTGCAATGAACTAGTCTTATCTTCCAAAGCAGTGAAATACATTAAGCAAGGGTCAATGCTAATACCCTATATTAAATTTCAGACTTAGAACCTATGAAGTAAACAAATCTTACTCTTAATAAAATGGTAATAAGCCTTTACTCTGATCATTAGTCTTTCATTCTATTTTTAATTCTATAATTTACTACATATTGTAAAATGTCTTCTTACCTTAGTGCAGAGTAAACTCCTAAAGACAGAGATGAATAATCAGGGTCATAGTAGAGATACACTGAAGATACACACTTTGGAAGGATGTCAATTACACCCACAGCAATTATTTTTCCATCAAGCCAATACTGCTGATGGAAAGAACCATAACCACATTCTGGACTGTTTGGAAGATTTTCTGCCTAGAGAATACCAATAAAAATAATAATTGTTAATCATTGTCATTTCAATTACCATTTTCCATTATCTTTTACCCTTTTTCCAACTCTTTACCAACAAAAAATACAACATTTAGAAAAAAACTAAATTGTGATGGCTAAAACACAACTCACTGATCTCAGAGCTGGTAAGGAGGGGTCATTTAGAGGGGATGGGGAGGAGAGGAGTAAGACTGCACCAGTACATGATGAATACCCTTAGGGTCTCAGCCCCTCTTCCTTGTGATCAGGGGCCAAACACTTAGATGGTTAAAAATGGCTAAGTGTTTGTAGGTGAGCAGGGGAGTGGAGGTGATCTTGGTCTGCATGTTCCTTCTGTTCTTCACAGGATACCTGTAATCCTCCAAATTTAATGGATTACAGACAGCCACACTGGATTATGTTGTTGATACTGTAAAACTATCTTGAAAAAAAATTCCCAGCAATAAAATATATCCTTGTTGTTAGCTACCCAGATAAAGAGTTCTTAAATTAAGCTAAAATTTAACTTCCTGATAGACTGGTTTTAAGTAATTTTAAAGATCTTCAATATATTCATTTGTTAATATTTATTCATTAACAACAAGCAGTTTTTCTCTCTGTAAATGTCCTCATATCAAAGACTAAGGGCCTAAAATGTTGTGATTAGCAATTTGAGGGTTCACATTTTTCCAATGAAGAACTAATGCTTATTTTAAATCTTCTTTCCCCATCTATATTTGCTTTTACAGCATGTCTTTTAGATTGTAAATCTGTGGGCAGGGTCTGTCTTCTATTTGTTGATGTTATGTAAGCCACTCTGGGAGTTTTCCAGATAAGATTGGGTTTAATTAATCAATAGAAATATGTAAACATTTATGTTGGAATGGATTAACTACATGATTTAGTTATATAAGATCAATAAATAGAACAATTCAGATCTGCTCATTAATTCTTTATTTTTTAAAAAGATATGGATAACCAGCTGAGGTGTGCAAGCATGCTCATAAATACAATCTCAGAAGATCATGGAGAAAAAAGCTCTTATTTGAACACAAATTATCTACAAAAGCAACAGGTGAATATAAAAATCACAAAATGCAAGAGCTTATTTGAAGCAATGAGAGCATTACTCAGTTGGATGAAAATTAAACCCTCACAAGGCAAGAATGTTGAACACTGGCTCACAACCACAATTAAAAAGAAAAGGGAAAGGGCCTTTGAGACCAATTTCCTGCCTAGTTCAAAAACCCAATTAACATTTCTCTATCCGCTCAATGTTTAAGCACTCAGTGAAACAAAAAACAACAAATCATGCAATAACTAGACAATATTATAAAAATATTGCTTGCCTAACCATTATAGTTTCTGAGCTGCCATGCCTCAGTTTTTCTATTTAAGCATTTTTCAAATGCTCTTTTTTTCATTTTAACTAGATCCAGGGCACTTGTTGATTGAAACAATGAAGCAGATATTAGTTATCTGCTATAGCATGTACTTTGTCAGACAAAAGGTAATTTATGTTCTAAAAACACATTAAGAGTCTTTTCAAGATATTGTAAGTAGTCTGCATTATGTAGTATACAACTTTTTAGTATACATTTTAACTTTGAACTAATAGTCCTCATCTTAGCTATCCCAACATAATTAATCTGGGATAATTATACAAACAGCTTTTTAGAAAAAAAAAACTTTCTCACTCAATTCATCTGACATTGTTATTGATTACCAACTGTTTCACATTTAAAACTACAGAAAGTGGATTTAGTCAAGTATTTTAATACAGTAGTTGAAGAGATGATAGGCAGTGGAAATACTGTAATTGTTACTAGACATGTCAGAAAGTCAGTGATGTGGTTCAAAAGTCCCTTAAACAATACAGAATAAAACCAGTTAGCCAGTATTTAAGAATTTATAGAAGCAGGTATCGATTGCTTGAAGTATACCTAAATCATGCGTGTTCATAGAGTTTGAATTCATGGTTACAATATGAAACAGGACCAGGCTAACTAGTCTGTACTGTGAAATGCAAAAAGCTTTTAAGTAGGCATATCCAAGCTTAATGCATCCCATCACTGACACCAAGCCTCTAATTCAGTATGACTGTTCCCATCATGTCTTTATCATAGACTCTGACATGTCTTTTAGTCTGTTCTTTCTTCTATTTTCCTTAATGCTTTCAACATTATAGGCAGTCTGATTAGGCATGGAGATCACTCATATTTAAAGAAATGAAATGAATGTGAACGACTCAACAACACCTCAGTGTGAAAAATGTTACTTTGCACATACAATACAGTTATTGCTGGATTCTTTTTTATGCACTTGAAAGTGATCCAACACATTACCTATTGAAAAAGTAACACTGAGATTCCCAAAAATAAAACAGTACATTTCTAGTTAAAATGATGAGATATGCAAACTGATTTCTTGTACATTATTTATTAGCATGGATGATGGACTATGTTATACATGAGTAGTTTCCATTTTAAAAGGGCCATTTATAAGAAAGAGCACATTACATCTGACAGATGGGCATGTATTTGAACATAAGCTAACTCAACTGTAACTATTAAAAATGACATTATTTCCAAGAAGAAAACAGCACAATTCTATCATGGCTATTCATAAGTCACACTGAATTCAACTCACAGGTAATGTCTTCCTTTAAAAAAATCAAAATTATACCATACCTTCTTTATATTAAGGGATGATGGACTATATTAATATTGCCAAATGCTTCTGTGTAATGTGTTGAAGTATATAGAGCAGAACTGGAAAACTTACATTTAGAGTGTTCTTTCTCTGGTTATATAAATAGGCTGTTCTTTACATTCACAGACTGGATTTCCCTTTCCAAGAACATGTTTATCCTTTTAAGAATTTAAGAGTTATACATCCAGACTGAGCAGGAGTGGAGAAATCTAACTGTTGCCAAGGGTGTTGTCTCTAAATAGTTTTTAAGGCTTTTAAAAACAACCAGAATGTGATCACATACATTTAATTTTTGCTTTTGAAATTATTTGTGGTGTAACACAGCACTTTGTAACTAGCACACAGTATTTCTTTTAAGATGCAGAATTTCAAAAACCCTTATGGCCTTGGATAGGCAACCCTTTTTATTAAGTTTCATCTAATAAAAAACATGTGCAAGTCATGCCACACAAAACTCAATTCAAGATTCAAAATGTCAATACAAATAATAATAATAATCATCATCATCTGAGGGAAAAGTGGCATAAACCTTACAGAGAAGGGTACATAATCATCCATTCAGTTTTTCAAAATAGGGAAAATAATGGAAATCTGCTGACTTATTTGACGAGGTGATAAAAGCTCTTTACTTACTAAGTCTAATGATCCTGATTAGCTGTCAAAGCTTTCAGACTGATGGAATGCAAGCATGGTATGGGTAGATTCAGCAAAGAAAACTAACAAATGCTGCACACATGGCTTCATTCAAACAGCAACGTATCAAATTACTGGTGCAATTACTATAACCTGATAATTTCATTACACTCCTGTGGTAGTTAACTCTTTAAGATCTATAACAACAAAGCCTTCTTAGCTGTTAGAAATTAAGTAATCTGAAGCCTTGCCCCTAAAAACCAGTCATTTCACCAGTCCTCATTATCTATTTTTAAGAAGCAGAACA